CCCTCCTAGCGCAACAATTTTTTCAGAGCCCCCCCTTCGGGTGTCTAAAAATTTTCGGAGCCCCCCCTCAATATCTTCATCCCCCCCCTTGTCATATTAAATGAACTTTCCTTAAAATTTAGTCTGTTACATAGATGCTGATTTTAGAAATAGTGTTTGATGAAACATGGCAAAACACTGGTCTTCGCGGTTCAAATGTAAATGGAAAAGATCTTGTTAGATTGTCTGTTGGAATAACAGCAATAGTATCAGTATTTATTCCATCTACAATCTATCTTTTATAGCACTTGTATTAATATTCAACACATCAATCGAATTGGTGGTATTTGGTAGTTTTGTTCCATACTCTGTCCTTGTAACAAGTTTCTTTTCAAATCCGATGAGGTTTCCAAAATTTGTTCCTCTCAAATCAAGTTGATAGTTATCACTGTCGTCAAAAGAGATTAACACTCGATAGGTTGATCGAATAAAAAGTGAGATTGATGTGAAACTTTTTGTTTCCATCTTGGATTGAGTGATGATTTTTTTGAGCCATGTACTGATGAATATAATCATTGATATCTGAGTAGGAATACATTCCATCTGTAAAAGTAATTGTCTGCCACGAAACACCTTTATCATGTCTGTATTTGATTTTATTGTCTTTTATAATCACTTCTAATGTTGTACCAAGAGTAAGTCATTGATAATCGGTCAAGAGCAAGTTCGTGTTTCAATTCAGGGTCAAGTTTTAGAGGTGGATTAAATTTGATTGTAAAATCACCGGGTCTGCTTGTTCCTCTTTTCTCTCGATTTACCGAGGAAATATGAATAGCGCGTTCTTCCATTTTTATTTAATTGTTATATAGTTTTTTAAAAAATTATTAAGCTGTTTCCTTGAGATAACTTTTATTTGTTGAGGAGATGTGCAATTTGGGGGAACTCTGTGGTATTAATCCATTATCTCCAGCAAGTCCAGCAAGTCCATTACTCCACCGAGTAATTCAAGTCTGTCAAGAAGTTGATGAGGGTTGTTAAAGTAGAAAATACCTTGTCCAGTTTGAATATATTTAGGTGATGTTAAATAATCATTTAATGTGTTTTTATACTTCATTAAAGTACCTTTTTGTTTTTGTAAATCACTTATATAATCATTATCAAGTTGAGTTTTGTTTTTAATGTTTCTAATTTACTAGCAATTTTTCCAGTTAATTTTTTCACGTCTTCATTTACATCTTTAAAAACTTTGTTTCGTTCTTCTTCAGTCATATCAAAAAAACTGTTTGGCATTGAATAATCATAATTTCCAAGTATTACCCTATCATTATCGTCAAAGTTTTTTTCTATATCTAGTTTTGTAACCCCTTTAGTAGCACCTTTTTCCTCCTCATCCTCATCATCATCAGATACGTCAGATATGCCAGATAAATCTATTAATATCAGATAATTTTATAGATTTTTTAGGTCCTTCAATTGCTTCAAAACCTGGTAATTGTTGCATATGCCGTCTTTTTACCTCATCCATTTTATCAAATCCTTCAGTTGCAAGTCCGCTTTGATTAAGACCTTGTGTAAGAGCAAGTTGATTAGCTTGAAGTTCTTTTATCATCGCGTCTTGCTGTTTATCAACGCTTTTTTAACACTATCCTGCGACTCAATAAGCGGTTTAAAAGTTTGTTTAAATCCCTCTCTGAGGTTTTGTTTTCCCAAATCGTTGTTTTTATCTCTCACCTGTTTAGTCAAAGAGTCAGCTTCAATTTTATTCCGTGCAAGTTTTCTGATTTCCTCGACATACATTTTTATTTAATGATTATAATAAAATGGAAATACCAAACTCCGAAAGTGATGGGGATAGTGATAAAAAATTCAAACAGTTATATTCATATATGCCATGAGATACATTCCGAATGTTGATCTGTGGAAACATTGGAAGTGGTAAAACTAATTTTTCTTTATCACATGTTGATGAAGCAGTTGTTGTACTATGATGAGATTTATCTTTATGCAAAAAATCTCGAGCAAGAAAGGTATCAAAAATTAATTTAAAAAATGAGAGAATTAAGTCATCAAATGGATTATAATATTTTAAATGTGAGTAATGATGAAATAACCCCAGTGTCAGAAATGGAGTGTAAAGACAATCAAAACTTGTTATATTTGATGAGTACGTATGTGAAAAAATCAGAGACAACTGATTGTCCGGTAATCTATCCCAGTCAAAGTTTTTACAAAACACCGAAAGATATTCGATTGAATTGTTCTCATTATTGCATCTATGAATTTCCCTCCTCACGATAGCCCAACAGAATATCATCTGAGTTGGGAGTTGATAAAGCACAATTTAAAGCAGCAACGCGGGAGCCGTATTCATTTTTGTACATTGGTAAACCAATGAAAAAAATCAAGAAAAAATTCATTGGTAATATATAAACATTAAATAAAAAATGGGAATATTTAATGAACATTCTTCTACTCACTTTGCAAAAGGAATACATGGCGCTCCAGGTGTTGGATTTAATCTCACTGCAGATGCATGGAAGTTATGATACTGTGAGTAAAAAACTAACAAATGTTGGGACTCCAACATTAAAACAGTATGTTGATGAAAACTCAGGCAGTGGAACATCCTCCAATCTCACAATTGATTCGGACATTGACATGAATGATATATACTTATCGTATTCTCAATCTTCCAATACCATCTGATGGAGATAAACCAGCCACAAAACACTACGCTGATATTAACTTTATGTTCAGAAATGGTAGTCATCCAGTGACTGGAGATGTAAATATGAATAATAATCGTATTCAAAATTTACCAATTCCAACCGGACCAACTTAACCAACAACATTGATTTTTACCGATCTTGATAAGTAATTATCTTAAAAATGAGGGAACAAACAAAATAGTGCGAAATCTGGACATGAATAACTATCGAATATTTAATCTTCCACTTCCAACCGGACCCCAACAACCAGTAACATTGGTTTTTGCTGACCTCAAGTATCTTCCTCGTAATGAAAAAAGCTCCAATGCTTAATGACTTGAATATGGATAATAAATAAATAATTCATTTATTACATCTAACATCTGATACAGATGCTGCAAACAAAAAGTATCTTGATGATAACAAACTTGCTGCAAGTAAATATCTTAAAAATGATGGAACAAACAAAATGACTGGAGATTTAAACATGGATAATCACAAAATAAGGAACTTAAATGATGAGCCAACAAGTGGAATTGATGGAATTAACAAAAATTACGTTGATTCTGTGGTGTCTCATTCTCATGTCAAACCAAGTCATCAAAAAGACCAATTAAGTTACTTAATGTCAAATGTATTGCAATGGACTGACTTGATTGATGGTGGAAATAGTTTTAATACGGCAAAAATAGCAGATTTATCAAATTTTCAAGGTAATTTTCACTCCTACAATCACAAGGTAATTTATACAACGATTATAAAAAATTCTCAAGGCGGTTACAAGTACTAAATTGGAATTAATTTTTACACTCTGTTTTTAAATGCTGATTATACTCTTTGTATTGAAATACCGAACACTGTTTATCAGTTTCTGTTGATAGAGCAACATCTCAAGGATTAACAATTGGAAATGTTTCAGTGAAAAAATTCAGTCATAGATATCTTGATTTGAAAAACAGTCCAGAGTTTATGTACTATCGCTGACTGATAATTCATTTAAAACTGAAAACAGCAGCATCACATCCGTATAATTTTCTTCATCTATTCGTTGATATTCCTCAGGTTGGAAGTGATTTGGGAGTTTATCCACAAAACTGGACGAAAAATTACGTAATTGCTTACGGAATCTTGGGACAAGTGTCAGATGTTGATACTGATAAAGTTTACAACTATCACACATCATTCAATGTCGACATTAATGCAAATCAAAAAAAGATACTGAACATTGTTCTGGACAGAAACATTGATAATAGTGCTGCAACAGTAAAAATGGTAGAGGATATTATTCCTTTTACAAAAAACAATTTGTACAGAGAATTTTTTGAAGAAATTTACGTCTTCAGTGACGTAAGAAATTATAAAATTACAATTGGGGCATCAGGAGTTACTTTTACAGGAGTTAATCCTAATGTGTCATTTCCAACAAAGGACTTGAGTGTTATTTTACATAATGGACTAAGAGTAAAAATTACGTTTTAAATTTGGATGCTGGTGTTGTGTTTGGTTGAATATAAATGTTTCTATTGAAGGTTATATGACTACTACCAATAAAATTGTAGAATTAAAATTTGATAAAACAACAAATAAAGTAATATTAAACAATTTACCATGAATATCCATTACCATACCAAATTCATTTAATGGAAAAGAAGTTGTTTTATGGTTAACAAAATATAGAAGTTCAAGTACAAATAATGAGACTATAAAAGCGTCAATATCAAATTATTCAACAACCTTGACATTAAGTTTACATCATAGTTTTGTAACACGTAAAGATTTTTTTGAAATTACAAGTGAAGATATCACCATTGAAAAAATTATGTATTCTCAAAACTTTTACGACTTTGACTCCGAGCAATATCACAAGAAAAGTTGAATGGGTCTTATGTAGTTTAAGAATAAATGAAAGACATCTTTGAATTCAATCACATAGATAAATCTCTTTCAGAATCAGACATCAAAACTCTCAAAGATTTTTACAAGCATTACTACAAGAAATATTGGTGTTTCAAAAAATCTTACAAAAGATCCAAACATCTTGGTGAAACAATCATTATCTCTGGAATTTGTTTGATGATTATTGGAACAATAACTGGTGGAATAACTTTGAATCCCGTTATTCCCTTTGTTGTAAACAGAGCTGGTATTCTTGTCACTAATTTTGGAAAAATGAAAAATTGCAAGAAAAAGATAGAAATGACAGAAATCGCTTTTACAACCTATGAAAAAGTTTTGGTTGAATTGAGGACTGCTTTGAGAGGAGATGAATTTGATAAGAATGAGTTTATTGACAAAATGAAAATAATGGATGAAATGATAATCGATCAGACCCAACTGGATGATAGATTTTCAAAAAGGTATAACAAAAAATATATTCTTTAAATAAAATGTTAAACAACATCATTTCTTATGTTAATTTTCACTTTCCAAACTATAAAACAAAAGTTAGGAATGATTCTTTCATTAAGTCCTGTCTCGTTTACAGATATTTAAATGAAAAAATATTTCAAAAAAAACAATGGATATAAACCAGATTATGTTTAGATTGGATGATGGACTCGTGGATTTATTGTTTCAAACAAATTCAAATGTTTGTAAAAACCATCTCATCTTTTCATACGCTTTTAGTAAGTTTTATGACAGATATAAAAAAGGAAGAGAAAGAGTTTACGTTGCAAACAGAAGATGAAAAAAGTCATCGATTGTTGGATTTTTTACAGGAATCATTTACTGGTTTTTCCACAAAGGAGTTTGTTAATTTCATATCAAAAAGATGTCAAATTGATTGATAGTATTTGATCCATTTCCTGTAAAACTTCAAAGCTTCTGGAGAGAGATTTAACTCAATTTTTTTGTGTTGTTTTCCTTGAGACTTTAAAAATTGTTTAATTATATAGTAAATATTAATCAATCTCTTTCTCTTGAATTTTTTGTTTAATTTTGAGAGTTTCTCATCGTTTATTTCCATCCGTTTTTTTGTATAATTGATACTCTTCATCCTCTGAAAGAACAATTTGAAACTTGTTTATCACTTGTTTAATCTTGTTCTGATAGTGATACTTTCTTTAGTAGATTGATTTTTTTCGAAAGTAAAATCTTTCATACTCAGCTTTATCATAATAACCAATAACATGACCCAGACTAACAAAACAATTTGAGCAATGGTAATAACAGGATTGAATAAAAAAGTCTGAACAATTACAATACTTACATGAAACTTTGTTTGATTTCGGTGGTGAATTGTCAGATTTAAGAATTTCGATAAATTTTGAAATTTCTTCTTCAGTGTAAAACATTTATTTATAATTTATACATTAAATCATGATTTTTTTAATTCGACATAGTAATCATAAAAATAACAACGAACAAAATCATTTTTTTTTACCAAGTAAAATTTTATTTAATAAATCTGAATTTATATCATTTGTTACATCAGTTTTAAACATAAAAATAACTTTATTTTCACTAGTTTTAATATTAAAAAAAGTACCATATCTGTCATCATAACTTTTCATGAAAATTGATTCTTGCTTGTTAAGGACTTCTTTGTCTTCTTCTTCATCACTAAAATCAAAAATTCTGTATAATGAAAATTTATGAATTACATTTCTTTCCAATTTAATAGTAGGATATTTTTTTGAGATGTAACCATATTTTTGGTAAATTTTCTTTAAAAATGGTTTCGGTTTCATTTGGTAAATCGTTTCTGTTTTTTACTGATTAATTCCCAATTAAGCAAATTAATTAATCTTTTAAAAAGACTATCTATAAAAGATTTGTTGGTTAATTTTGGTTTTCCCGTTTATTTATCCTCAAAATATGTTATATTACAAGTTAATTTTCATCTTTTTTCCAAGGAAATTTTCTTTACCCGCGTAACTCATTTATTTACGAATTAAAATCTTAAAATATATTTTTATTGAAGAGCCTTTGTATGAATTTTATCCCTCATCACAATTCGTTTTTCCTCATTTGCAGATAATGCTATTTTGTTTATTTTCACTGGACAAATATCATGATTATCACTTTTTATAATATTCATCGTTCTCATTTGCTCCTCTCCTGAAAATAAACATTTTTATAATCATCAAATCCTATCTCTTTCTTTACAAAAACAAAAGCTTTCTTTTGAACTTTCTCTTTCTATTTTTTGTCTTTTAACGGTGCATTTCAACCTTGAAATGCAGAACTCTGGTCTTAAAACCAGCGCATGGTGATCGCGCGGCAGCGATTTTGTTGAAAATGGTTGTTCTCCTTTTTTAAATATGGTGAAAGTAAATATTCAGGGGCATTGAACGCGAGATACACGTTTCAACCCCTTATAAGTTTGTGGTAGAATTTAATGAAATTCTGCGTATTTTCTACTGATCATGAAATAAAAAAAAAAAGAATTAAAAATCGGTAACTAAATGCATTTGGAATACGAAAATAATCTCTCGATCGTTTTTCTGGAATAAAAGGATACTGTTTCGTACCGGCTCTCCACTCAAGTTTTAAAAAAAATTATTTACTCAGTCAGCGTCGGTAAATAAAGGCACCAACTCACGGCTTAGGGTGGCAAAATACAGGGATTTGTATTAAACTGTCCACCAAGACCTCAACCTCGTTTCATGCTCACTGAACCGAAATGCAGGAGAGGTCTATATCTATGAAAATGCCTGAGCTATGAGTCCTTCTTAAAAGTAATGACCAAGCGCGGGTCACAATTATGCACCATTGTTTGAGAACCAGCAGGTCATTTTTATGTTCACTGAGGTCGAACACTGACGTAATTTTTTCTGTGCATTTATGCATGGGCCGATGCACCAGCAGGTATGGCTTGTCATTGCTATCAATCGACCTACCCTTACCTTTACGGCTAGAGTTTACAAAAAAGCTGCAACTTAATATTTCACTCGATGTAGTTTACCCTGTTAAAAGGAAAGCACGTGTACGTTTTTACCAGGATAAGACTTCAACTAGCACGACTCGTCTCCATCAGGGCCAGTGAACTGATTAGTTCCGAATAAGCTGCTCTAGTTCAGTGAAACATTCGCTTGATTTAAAGTTACTGTTTCTTCGGTTGTACAATTCTTGATTTGGCTTATTTTAACATTGCAATGACGGTCTGGTACCAGCATCTCATCAAAACTAGATGCAACAACAAGAATTACCGTCGAATTACCGGCTCGGTCTTCAGATCTGAGGTCGGATCCCCTCGCTTCACTCGAAGCTTTTACATTTCTCATAGGTGGAATATTCTTTCTTAAGAGTATATTAATAACAGAGACTAAAATTAGCCTTAAAACAACACATCCCTACAACTGCGTGCTGCCCTCATCAGATACAAATTGTTGCAAGTTAAAACATTGAAACACAAATAGACAAGTACTGAAGATCGGCGACCACTCCTCCAGTGACAGTACAGAAACTGGAAGAATTGCAAGAAAGACCTGAAGGAAGGCCCAAGGGGTTGAAAATATGTTTAACTACTTGTCTGAAACTAGTTGTTTTATTCTTGTATGTTGTGCCGAAAAGTGGACAAATTAAAATACATGATCGCGAAAAAACATGTATATAAAAAAATACGACAAAAAAAAAACACCAATCACATTGCTAAGCCACCAAATTCAAAGATCTTAATATAGGGATAACCTCATGACCCACCTCCTGGAGTTCTAATGGCTACCCGTAAGCAGTGTATGTGCGTTCATGTCGCAACGCTTATAGTAAGTATCTCTGAACAATGAAATGTTTTTTTAAAACATCACTTCAAAACAACGTCAACGAGAGTGGACAACGCAGATACCGCAAACTGATAAATTGAGTTGCGGAACAATGTTAAAAGAACGGAAGTATTGTCATATCACTAAAGCACACCCAGCTAGTCCTCTCGAAAATAAACACTTTGAAATCAATTACACTCTCGGCAGTGTCGCCGATTTTTTCCATAATTGCCATTAATAAATACAGTACTTTTAAAATAAATGTTAGTCCTTTGTTATTTTTTAAATGCTTGTTTTATAAAATACATAATTCTATAAATTAGCTTAAATTCCACTTCATTAGCTTAATAAGCTTTCGCGTCTGCTAACATATTTTATCGAGCAAGACAACAAAAACATGAATAAATAAACACTTATTACACGTTAATGAACGAACTAACCAATGGTTGTCTCGGTGTTTAAAGCGCAGGTTGTATGTAAGTGGACAGTACTGACAACTTAACGCAAATAGTCTATTTCCTTTCAAAATTTACTCTTTTCTTATTAATTAGCTAGCGATTTGTGAATGGCACAAAATAAGATGCTAAAAATTAAATACAATAATATTTTACGAGCAAGAGAAGTTGGTGGACAATGCTGCATGGCCTTCATATCGCTTTACTTCAATAATCATGAAGCACAAGTGTGTTGAAGAGGAATTGTTTGAAAGGTATCTCTAAGTTTTAGTTTTATAATGTAATCCTTTCCGTTCCAATCTTTAATTCCTTTAAACGCCCATTATGTAAGTATAAATATATACTAATTTTTTTCCCAAAAAATTGCGCCTCCGATCATATTGACTACTGTTTCAAACATTCGAACATCTGAACAGTCTGAACAAACGATAGAATTGTGAAGGATTTAATAAATGTGTGATCCTTGTCCGATTCGTATAATACCAGCAATCGATTTTAACGATTATAGATATTTATACTTCATCCATCTATTGTTCAGGGCGTATGCGTGTATGCTCACCGGCTTCTAAGTAATAAGTAGGTTTCTAGTTTACGGCAAGAAGAGAAGCATGTGCAACCAAAAATTGAGGAAATTAACGTTTTCCGTGAGATGTACACGTACATTATGCCTTCCCATTTGTCGACTTCTTCATCAGTGCTGCCAAGACTTAACAGCAAGTTACCCCAAAGCGCCGTTTGGAATAGTCAACTATCCCGTACTGACCACCAGAAGCAAATAAAAAAAAGTGGCAATTATGTTACATTTATATGAGTAATTTGATTTTGCCGTTCGCCGTTGATTATTTATTACATCCCCAATCTTCTTAAAAAAAGTGAAAACTTCGAGGAAAGTTTGAATTATTAATCAGTGAGTCCGCAAAAAAAGATGATTACATGATATAAAAATCAGACGAGCACGTCTTTCCATCACAGGGGCAGCAGGTGTTATTTTGTTATTTTGTACTAATATTTTGACAACGATGATATTGTAACAAAGAGGGATCATTAGTCCTTA